TTATTAGTTCCTGCTCCCGGCTGTTGGAACATTTATTCTCTGGATTCTCATCAGTCTTTGGTCACTTTATAATAATAAAATAAAGAAAAAGAAATAAAAAGAAACAGTTTGGAAAATTTTGGTTTTCACAGAACTGGACCTGTTTGAATCCACAGCCAAAACTCTTCCGGTCTCCTTATTTTCAAGGACTTTAAAGGATCCAGTCTAGGTAGACCGGATCTGGAACAGAACCATCAGGTCTGGATGGTCCTGGAGAAACTGTGAAGGTTCTGTTAAACCCTGAAACCTTAAAGGGATGAGAGAAGCTACGGGCTGCAGGTCCGAACCTGTGACCAGGAAAGTGTTTGGACTTTTTTTCCTCTTTGGTTCTGAGAACCTCTAATGGTTCCATCAGAACCTTTGCCTGACAGAACACTGACTGGATCAGAACCGGCAGCAGGCTGAAACACAGAAGAACAAAGATTTCATTGATTGTTTTTCTTTTTCTAAACTCAGTTTTTACAGTTTTCCTTTGATTCAAAGGTTTATGACTTCAGAGATCAAAGTGATTTTTACTGTTAAATGAATCAATAAATGATCAATGAAGCCTCTAATGACTATGATAGGACTGGGACCAGAAGTTTGATGACTTTAGGGACTGAAACCTTTCAGGCTCTGAACGCGTCTGTGTTGTAATGTCAGTTCACAGGCAGCAGGCGGCAGCACTGAGACTCCAGGAGAAGATCAGGTGAGATGGGAGGAGCCTGGAGCTGCTCAGGAGGAGCAGCAGGAGGAGGTGAGTTTCCACAGAATCCACAGAAATCCCAACAAAAACGAAGAAGCTCGGATTAAATAAATGAGAAAAGAAACATTAAAGTAGCATAAAGACACTAAAACAGACGATAAATGGATGGAAACAGAAAATGTTCCTTTTTATTCATGTGAAAATGATCTAAAATGACTCCAGACGATTTAAACCAGGACTATGGTTTTTATCCAGACCTGTGCTGGATCAGTCCCACCAGAGAACATCTCCACTGATCCAAGGACCTTCTGTGGTGCTAGAAGGTGAAGATCCAGGCCTGAGGGCCTCTAATCTGGAGGATCTGGACTATTCCCGGGGTGAGGGCGGTCTTATTTTTGCTGCTGCTACCTCCATCCTGGAGGCTGACATCACATGGAGGGTAAAAGCAGCAAAGACGTCACAGAGAAACCAGATCTAAAGGAGGAAATCTGTGGAAACAGACGCTGCAAAATCAGCAGCTTTTTATTAGAACGAGCTCGAGGTTTAAAACTGAAAGAAGGGAAAGGAAAGATGTTGAACTTTTCCTGCAAACCACTGAACATGTTAATCATCCGGTCTTCGCATTTAGCGGCGCATCAGTTAATGTTATACAGATTAAATAATGAGCAGCAGCTTCTTCCCCACCGCCATCAACCTGATGAACTGCTGAGAAAACTCTAAATCACAGACAGCGAATACTCTGAAATAAAAGCCTTTATTGAACAATGTGATGTAGAAGACCTGACTTGTGCGTTTACCAGTGACGGCGTTTTTAATAATAACGGGTCATGGTGTCAGTGGGCCGGTCTGAGGCGGGACTCCAGGCCTCATCATTAGTCTCTGTGTGGATCAGCAGCAGCAGATAAGGTCTCTGATGAGCTTCCCTCCCTGCAGACTGAGGCAGCGTGTTCCCTGAGGTCCACCATAAGGAACGAGCCCTTCCTCTGGTGGAGGTTCAACTTCTCGCTGCCGGTCCTTCAGTGGGCTGGAAGTCTGACGCCATCGTCCTGGAAGCAGCTGAAGAGACGACCACCTCCATACGGCTGGAAGGGACTTCCTGCTAAAGGTGGGCTCCAGGTTTTATTCTCCTCATCATGTGGGGGGGCGGGCTCAAGGAAAAAATGCTTTTTAATAAAAAAACCTTTTATATTTTACCAAGTTAAGGTTCTGAAAAAAAACCTAAATGAAAAGACAATAAATGAAACCCAACCTCATCCATTAAAGGACAGGAGATATTTGAAGGTTGAAATGACTCTACCCTCCTCCTCTTCCTCCTCCTCTTCCTCCTCCTCCTCCCCTTCCTCCTCCTCTTCCTCCTCAGTCCTCCGGGAAAGCCTCTCCCTCCTCAAAAGCCGCCAGCTTTTTGAGCGGGAACCACCTGGCAGGTGTGTCCGCTGCGCCGTGGTGGGAAACGGAGGAATCCTCCGTGGATCCAGGCAAGGAAAGAACATCGACCGCCATGATTTGGTCTTCAGGTGAGAATCTGAAACCTTCAGAGTCCTCAGGGTCTACCCCTGGATGAGGCATCCAACTAGAATAGAAACAGAATAGAATAAGAATTAGGGAACAATAGAAATAGAATAGAAACTGAGTAGAGTAGAGTAGAGTAGAGTAGAACAGAGTAGAGTAGAGTAGAACAGAGTAGAGTAGAGTAGAATAGAGTAGAGTAGAACAGAGTAGAGTAGAGTAGAGTAGAACAGAGTAGAGTAGAACAGAGTAGAGTAGAGTAGAAC